AATGAGATCTTTCTGAGTTTATGATAAAATCCTCTGTTCTGTGCAAGTTAGTCTCCTGTTGATATAGTTAATCCACTCTCTGCCTTATACTTTAGAGCTAGCCAGTATTGGGGCTTGATATTGGAAACCAGAGGGAGAAAGAAATAATCTCTGAATATTCCTCTCAATTAAGGCAAAATTTTCCATTTAGCCAAGAATAAAATCTATCAGCCACTGATAGTTTGTGAATATTAATTTGAAATTTTAAAAAATAATTTTTTTAAAAAGCAGATTTGAAAAGCTTTGTTTTCCAAGTATGATCTTTATTATTCTTGGGCCAAAACAGTTTCTAAAGTACACATTTCCACATTCTTAGTGAAGTCAGTGGAAACTGAATTCAGAGCTATTTTCTATGAATGTCTTAATTCCATGAAGACACATGATACCTTTTAAAATTCTAATTTTACAGTAATTTATAATTATAAAATTTTATGTATCTTTTATATTAGGATAATAGTCAAGCAGAAGTATATCTTTTAATGTTTGCTCTCAAAAGTAGAAGTGTCACCTTTCTCAGGAACACAGCAAGAAACTAAATGCAGTTAACTCAGTGCCTAGAAAAGACTTGGAACAGAGTCTTCAGCTCTTACTTTAGGAGTCTGATTTCCAGGATTTCATGCGATTTAAGAATGAACTTGTGCATAAGTACCAAACAATCCTAAGGGTCAGTGAGTTCTCTCTCTGGAAGAGACGCTGCTCTTGTCCTCACTGGAGTGTCTCTGATTCACAGACGGTGACACTCAGTAGGCAGAGGGCTGAAGAAGGAAGGCATATCTGCAGAATCCAGCAGTGAGCCTCTCATTTGCCTTCTGATCATTTCCTTATTGCTTCTGAAAGAACTCAGTTACTAGAAAAGCTTGAGAGGAGGAGAAAGGCCATTTTATTTCATTATTTTTTATTTTTAAATTTTTTAAAACTTTTTTTTATTGAGTTATAGTCATTTTACAATGTTGTGTCAAGTTCCTGTGTAGAGCACAATTTTTCAGCTATACATGAACATACATATATTCATTGTCACATTTTTTTTTCGCTGAGCTACCACAAGATCTTGTATATATTTCCCTGTGCTATACAGTATAATCTTGTTTATCTAGTCTATATATGCCTGTCAGTTATCTACAAATTTTGAACTCCCAGTCTGTCCCTTCCCACTCCCCCCACCAGCAACCACAAGTTTGTATTCTATGTCTATGAGTCTGTTTCTGTTTTGTATTTATGTTTTTTTTTCTTTTTTTTAGATTCCACATATGAGTGATGTTACGTGGTATTTTTCTTTCTCTTTCTGGCTTACTTCATTTAGAATGACATTCTCCAGGAACATCCATGTTGCTGCAAATGGCGTTGTCAGTTTTTATGACTGAATAGTATTCCATTGTATAAATATACCACATCTTCTTTATCCAGTCATCCTCTGATGGACATTTAGGCTGCTTCCATGTCTTGGCTATTGTAAATAGTGCTGCTATGAACATTGAGGTGCAGGTGTCTTTTTGAAGTAGGGTTCCTTCTGGATATATGCCTAGGAGTGGGATTCCTGGGTCATATGGTAAGTCTATTCCTAGTCTTTTGAGGAATCTCCACACTGTTTTCCATAGTGGCTGCACCAAACTGCATTCCCACCAGCAGTGTAGGAGGGTTCCCGTTTCTCCACAGCCTGTCCAGCATTTGTCATTTGTGGACTTTTGAATGATGGGAGAAAGGCCATTTTAAAATGAGGGATACAAGCTGCATCAAAAAAAGCAGGACTGCTTCAGAGGAATCAAAGTTAGAGAGGAAGGTTGGCAGGGAGGAATGATTAGTGTTGGGGAAAATCTGTTCTGTTTTAGATGTTGCACATTTGTAGCTTGGGGCACTTTCTGTATCACCTACTCACGTGGAGCCATTCCTGATAATGTTATGTGAACATGCAAACCCTAACATACTTATTATTTTAACAGCTTTGGTGAGCTGTAATTCACACACCATACATTTCTTTCACTTGCAGGGTACAACTATCCTACTTAGGGTATCAGACAGGAGTAGAGTGTTATCTATATAATATGGGTCCCTGTAACTTTTTTTTTAGTTTTTTTTTAATGGGGGGAGGTAATTAGGTTTATATTTATTTATTTTTGTAATGTAGGTACTGGGAATTGAACCCAGAACCTTATGCATTCTAGGCATGCATTCAACCACTGAGCTGTACCCTCCCCACTTGGGTCCCTATACTTTTAAAGTGCAGAATCTCCTGGTGGTAGAGTTTAAATGTACTAGAAAAGAAACTATAGGGCCTAAGAAATAATAGGGCCTAAAGTAATTACTTTAGCTTTGAAAAAGTCTAATAAACTTCCACAATAAGTTTGTTTTTGCAACATCCTTGCTTTGAGGAGGGAAGTTAGAGGTCTTTGCCTCTCCAGAAGTTTAAATAGAATTACAAAGCTCCCACCCCCTTTGGTAATGCTCATAGGGTTATTTTCATGTTGTTAATAAAAGAAGTGAGGCTCTTTGAAGCATAACCTCACAAGCCTTAGAGTACAGCCAAATATACAGCAAAAATTTTATAGTTTGTTTCTTTTTATGATTTTTGGTTATATACATGGAAGTCATTCTCATGGTTAAATTTTTCACTATTGGTGGTAATTATTAGGGTTTTACCAGGTGATAATTAATCATGCCCTTTTCCTTGATTCGTGTTTAGAAACAAGTGAGAAATAAAACGCAGGAGTCAGACAGAAATGAAAATATAAGCTTTATTCCTGATAAAGCTGATTGGAAAGCAAGACTTAGGTATATAGACACAAGGCTTTCCTTGGATCATTGATGAGGTTTGATGCTAGTACTAGAAAATTCAAAATAACAGTGGCATAAGTGAGGAAGGGACTATTTCTCACCTCAAAGTCCAGACATGTCAGATCAGAGCTGCTAGAGTAGTCCACATATACAGCCCCAGACTCCTTTCCATTTTTTGCATTTGCTGTGCATGGTTTCCTTTTCCAAGGTCGTTCTGGGGTCTAGTATGGACCAGCTCTAGTTATCATGCGTACATTCCAGCCAAGAGGAAAAAAGAGGGGGTAAGGGAAGGATATCTCCATTTAAGGACACATCATTTTTCATTATGTCCCACGAGCTACAACACAGTCACTTAGCCACATCTAAGTAGGAAAAGTGAGTATTCTGGGCTGCCATGTAGCCAGCTAAAACCTGAGAATTCTCTGATAGAAGGGGAGTGAGAGTGACTGCTGGACGACCTGCCGTCTCTGCCACATTCCTGAGTTAAACTTACACAGCCAGGCAGCAGCAGAAGCTAGACCACCACTGGCGTCCCCTCTAGCGAGGGGCAAGCTGCTTACCCCAGAGCAGAGGCTCACCTCGAGGGTAAGCTGCTTGGAAGAGGGGAACCCAAAGAGGGCTGAGTCCAACACGCTCCATCCCTTCTCATTCTCTTCCACTGAGAGGTCAGACGTGTTTCTCCTATACACTTCCTTCCTCACTCACATCTGGCTTTTCTAAGGGGCGATACAGTGAACTGTCATAAGGCAGGAACGCAGCACATGATTTGGCACTGCAATAACAAGGTTTCCTTAATTTCCTGTCTTCTAGCCTTTCTTTGTCTTCACAATCCACTAGATTAAGAAATCTTCCTGAATAGTCATAAGAGAGTTCTTCTTCTGGCAGAATGTCTCTGGCTGCAAAAAGTGCCAACTTTGGTACCATCGAGTCAATTCGGACAGGAATCATCAACAGATTTGGCTCACAAGAGTGGTTAAGGAATCTTCCAATATTTCCTATAGAGGTAGGATCAATAAATGTTTCCATTACCTGCCCATTACAGACATGTTCCCTGATGGCTATGATGTAATTCGAATCATGTATTGTTTGTAACTGAACTCTTCTCTGTACTTCAGAGAACCCTAAAACCTCGCCAGCATATTCACAGACAAACCGTCCTTTTGGTATAAAGTCCAAGGTGCGAAGTCCCCAGCCTTTCTGATCTGTCTTGAACACCTGGAGGTGGAACTGCAGACCCCGCTGGACCACTCTGTTCCTGCAGCGGTCACTGCACTGACACAGGACATTGCATTCGAAAACGGGCTCAGCATACTTTGCTTCCGATCCTGCATCTCGGAGGCATAAATCATCATCATAGTTCTTCTCACGACGGAGGCAGGAACAAGTACCAGGGAGGCAGGGGGTTTTGAGACAAGTGCATCCGGGAAAGGTTATTTGAGTGGGATCAATGTCTGCTCCAGGTCCGGCTACATGGTCAGGAGTATACTACAAAACCAGAAATACTGTAAGTCAGCACCGCATGCCATATACTTCATCTGTATTTCAGCAGCTTTTGGCTGAGACACTTCTTAATTCTAACAAATGGAACAAGACAAAAATGACAGGATACATTAAAATATTTTCTAAAAATATCTCCCTCCAATTTGAAAAATAAATTCTTAGATTTAAAATTTGGTGGTTTCCTTTTCGGTAAGAAAAATTTATATACTTTTCCTCTTGTCAGATAACTGAAAATTTTGTAACCCATTTTGTATCCCTCTTAGCTTTAGATGTCAGGACAATCAGTGATGAATTGCATTTTCAAATGAAGTTAAGTGTCTTCTCCTTGGCTTTTGACCTCTTATCTGATTATACAAATGCATATGTGTTTTTATCATGAGTTACCTCAGATCCTTTTTGGGAATAAGAAAGTCATAAATGACAAATCAATGAAAAATGGCCTTTGGGAGAGAGTCTTCCATTGATTTTTTTTTAAAGAATTTTTTAATTTGAAGATTATCTAAATTTTTATTCTCTCATGTTTTTAAAAAATGCTGCTACCTGACAGTTCTGTTTGAGTCTTCACAATGTTAAAAGCAGAAATTTGGCAAAAAAACCTTGCAGAGAGAATTCTAAAACTTGTATTTATTACATATATTAATAGATATTTAAATTTATTGTAGATATACTATATACATGTAAAGAAATCCTGTTCTTATTAAATGAGAAATGGATAATACCAAAAGGTTTCTCTGTCTTTTAAAGATACCTGTATTTTCAAAATGTCACATTAACAAAATCTTATGAAAAGTAAGTCCTAAGTCTAAAAAATCTATGTTATTTCCTGACCTCTGGTTATTTCCTCACTGGAAAAATAAAGCACATTCTCATACCCTGAAGATTAAACTCTCTCTCTTGCTTATATGGAACCTAATTCATTTATTTATACTCGCTTTGTTCCAAAAAAGGATTTAATGAGGCTTACAAAGAGGTAAGAGAAATAAAAAGTAGGTAAGGTGAAGGGAAAAATAAGATCCAACTAGTTGAGCGAGCTTAGCCACACTGAGTGTGTAGCAGAAGTGGATCTGGCTCTGCCTGAGAGCAGCCACATCTAAGCGGTTAATATGATTACATGAAGGGCTTGCACTCTCTGCAAGGAGCAATCTCACTGCTTAGAGGCACTGACTTTTTCCAACATGGAGACGGGAGAGAAACTTCACCAAAGAGTCTGTCTAAACCGTTCTCTTCCAGGAAAGAGTTTCACCGGCTGTTTTTCACTTCGTTCATCCTGCCCCTCAGTAAAGGCTGTTGGCATGCTGCTGCAGCGAGTCAGTACCAGCAGTTCTGAAAGAGACCAGTCGCAGAGCTTTGCTACAGAGATAGATTTTAGTGCATTTAGAGGAGCCTTTGAGCTGAGTATCTCCATTAATACTGTGTTTCCAGGCCAAACTTTAGGAAAAATACTGAGCAGCAGGTTGTTGTACTCCCTGTGGTGGCCTCGGTGGAGCTATGCAGTTAGGTGCAAAATCCTGTACTTTTAAAAACGCTGAGCTGGGGGGAAGGAATGACATCCTCCTGTGAAAGATGAGCATGGTGAGTGGGCGCACCTGCGGGGGAAGACCAATACTGCTTAAAAGGTGATTTGGGGGTGGACAGCAGAAATAGCTTCTCCTGTTTTGTGTCAGTTCTTACAGCTTTAGCTTAGCAGAGATGTCCTAAAAGGATAAAGGATGGCTTGGTAAATGATGCTCCATCAGTCAAATTCCATGACTGCTGTCTTATATGGAAACTACTTCCAGATTTTAAGAGGCAACGTTGAAATGGTTACGGAGACATTTTAAGTACTTGCAAAATGAAGATTTTACTATCACTTTGTTAAACTTTTCATGAAGAATTCTTTTCAATTGATTTGTTCTTAAAGGTGCATATATTTTTAATGTACTACAGAAATCACTAAATTCTAAGGTGATTTTTTTTTAATGCTAAAAACATCTTTTAAAATCAAGTCTGACTTAACTGCAGTTTTCTAACCAGGAGAGCATATTATTCCTTGTTGAACTTACTTGCATATGGATAAGTACTTTTTGGAAAAAATACTATTATTTGCTTATTTTTACTTATACATTTAAAATAAGATTTTGGAGAATCTAGCAATACATTTTTTAAAATTCTGCAATTTAAACTTTTTGCACAATCTAAGATCCTTTAAAGGCCTAGATTACAAATGGTAGCTGACTCCAAATAAGCTGAAAATACTTTCCGAAGGATAACAAAGACTTCTAGATAAACCTCCTGTTTAAACAGAATATATATATATATATA